CTCTCTCTCTCTCTCTCTCTCTCTCTCTCTCACTCTCTCTTTCTCTCTCCATTCGCTATCGCATATCTTTCCCGTTTATACGTCTAGATCTTTTTTGCTCGCGAAATGAATCCGGGAATTCGAATTCGAACGCCGCGAGAGAAAACCCGGTAGAAGACGGTTCGGATCGGAAAAGTGAGGTTGGTAACCATGGCGACGGGATTCGAAGCGCCTAGAAGCGGTGTGGCGTTGTTGTCGTATTCGAAGGCTGGCGGGAGACGTGATGTAACGGACGTGTGGTCATGCAATAGCAGCATGATCTATACGCGTGACCACGCAATGACAGCACGATGAATCCATGTGACCGCGCCATAGAAGCATGATTCATACGCGTGACCACGCGATGGTAGCATGATGTATGCATGTGACCATGCCATGTTAGCACTATGTATGCACGTGACCACGCCATGTTAGCACGATGTATGCACGTGACCACGCCATGTTAGCACTATGTATGCACGTGACCACGCCATGTTAGCACGATGTATCCACGTGACCACGCCATGTTAGCACGATGTATGCACGTGGCCACGCGATGGTACCACGATGTATGCACGTGACCACGCCATGTTAGCACGATGTATGCACGTGACCACGCCATGTTAGCACTATGGCACGATACACGCGTGACGACTCCACTCTGACACGATGTAGAAAACGTACGGTAGGCATGGCAACGCTACAGCTCTGTCGTTGTATAGCGAGACCGACCGTCCGCCAGTAATTTTCTTTCGCCGACGAATGCAGCCCCCCCCCATCGTCTGCGGTAGAAAGCACGATAACCATCTCCGTCGTCTGCCGTAGATAGCGCATGATAATACACGTTCATTAGCCCTCGCGGACTAGTCCCTGGTCGTTAACGCGCTGATCGTGCGTCGGTGGGCGGGCGTAGGGGAGGGAAGAAGCAAGCCTTGCTGTTTCCTCCGATCCTGTAAAAATCAAACGAGCACAGGGCGTCATTACGCGAGGCATTCACGAAAGCGAAGCACAAAGAAGAAGCAAAAGAGGAAGAAAAAACCGAAACGACGCACAAAAGAACAGCGGCGCGGGTGAAATGTAGATCCGTCACGTGCGCGCGCGGAGGAAATTGGCTCGAGAGAGATTGGGTTGTGGGGGAGAATATAGAGCGGGGGCTGGTGGAGCGTGAATGCCGGAGGGAGAGGCTTATGCTGTCCGCGTGACATCAGGTACGCAACGCTACTGCTGCTGCTGCTGCTGCTACTACTACTGCTGCTGCTGGTGGTGGTGGTGGTGGTGCTGCTGCTGCTGTTACTACTACTACTGCTGCTGGTGGTGGTGCTGCTGCTGCTAGTGCTGCTACTACTACTGCTGCTGCTGCTGCTGCTG